GCAGCAGCAGCAGCAGCAGCAGCAGCAGCAGCAGCAGCAGCAGCAGCAGCAGCAGCAGCAGCAGCAGCAGCAGCAGCAGCAGCACTTTGAACTCCACTTGGCTCAAAACTAAAAAGAATGTCAATAATGATGATTACAATATTAATTATAATCGTAATAATATCCTGATGTAACTAAAAACAATACTGCGCAGTCGTCGAAAGAGGCAGCAGCAGCAGCAGCAGCAGCAGCAGCAGCAGCAGCAGCAGCAGCAGCAGCAGCAAACGGACCACTCAGCAAAGTGTAGGTAACGTAGATGCCCGCATCGGCCAGCAGCGCAGCAGTTGCTTTTGCTGCTGCGCTTTGTGCGGAGCCAACAACAATAACAGAGAAGTCTAGGCCTTGCTTCTTCGCCTGCAGCAGCAGCAGCAGCAGCAGCAGCAGCAGCAGTACTGCAGCGGCAGCGGCCCGAACTGCTGCATCCCGGCCGGCAGCAGCAGCAGCACAGCACAGTTGCAGCAGCAGCGCCGCAGCAGCAGCAGCAGCAGCACGACCGCAGCAGCGGCGCTGCTGCTGCCGCTGCGCTCCCGCGCCCGCTGCAGCAGCAGCAGCAGCAGCAGCAGCAGCAGCAGCAGCAGCAGCAGCAGCAGCAGGACCTGGAGGAGGGCGCAGTTGATGGCAGTGGACTTTCCGTAGACCAAAATGCAGTCTCCGTTTTGAATAATTTGCTTCTCAACAACTGCTGCTGCCATTAAACAAGCAGCAAAAACTCGGCCGTGCACAAACATGTCTATGTCCCGACTCAGACGCACACGCGTCTCCTCCAGCTGCAGCAGCGCGTAGCCTGCAGCAGCAGCAGCAGCAGCAGCAGCAGCAGCAGGTGCAGCTGCAGCAGCCGCAGCAGCGGCAGGTCCAGCTGCAGCGCAGCAGCAGCAGCAGCAGCTGCTGCGCAGCAGCAGCAGCAACCCCCCGCCGCAGCGCAGCCACCGGGCGCTCGGCGGCAGCCGCCGCGCGAGCAGCAGCAGCAGCAGCAGCAGCAGCAGCAGCAGCAGCAGCCCAATTAATTAATTAATTAATTAATTAAATTAATTAATTAATTAATTAATTAATTAATTAATTAATTAATTAATTAATTACTCGAAAGCCGCCGCTTCAGCCAGCGAATAGTCCCCCCCATGGCCAGGCTGTGCTGCCGGCAATTTGTGATGAAGTTTATTTGCCGGTCGAGCGTTTGCTTCAGGTGTCTGTCCACCGCCTGGAACGGCGGCGGCGAGTAGTCTTCGATGAACCGCTGAAACGCTGCAGCAGCAGCAGCAGCAGCAGCAGCAGCAGCAGCAGCAGCAGCAGCAGCAGCAGCGGGAGCGCGAGGGGTGTGGCGGCGGCAGCGGGGGACCACGCGGAAGCGGCGGCGCTGCGCTGCTCGCGAGAGCAGCAAGCGGCGAACCAGCAGCAGCAGCGAGGCTCCAGCAGCAGCAGCAGCAGCAGCAGCAGCAGCAGCAGCAGCAGCGCCGCAACCCCGCAGCAGCAGCAGCTGCTGCTGCTGCTGCTGCAGCAGCAGAGGCGCTTCCAGCGAACGCAGCACCCAAGCAGCAGCAACACCGCCACAGCAGCAGCAACGCCCGCCCCTGCCCACGTCGCACCACCCCCACCCCCAACACCGCAGCAGCAGCAGCAGCAGCAGCAGCAGCAGCAGCAGCAGCAGCAGCAGCAGCAGCAGCACCTGTGAGCATGGCGACAGTCCTCGCGTTGCTGCCAGCTATGCGTCTGCAGGCCATCTGCAGCCCCACGCGGAGAACAGCAGGATGGATTTTCTCTTGGCGAAAGTTGGAAAGAAATAACAGCGAAGGCGGCAGCCGCAGCGCAGCAGCAGCAGCAGCAGCAGCAGCAGCAGCAGCAGCAGCAGCGCCGCCAGGGCGGTGCGGCTTCGTCCCTGCGCAGCCCCACACTTCCACTTTATTATTTATTTAATTATTTAATTTAATTTAATTTAATTTAATTTATTTAATTTATTTAATTAATTTAATTAGTTTAATTAATTTAATTAATTTAATTTAATTAATTGATTTAATTTAATTAATTAATTGTTTTATTTTATTTCACTTTCTTTACTCTTTGGCCCCCTGCTGCTGCTGCTGCCCATTCAGAGCCTTCCACCCCAAATAAAAAAACAAAAAAACAACCAATAAATAAATAATAAATAAATAAATAAATAAATAAATAAATAAATAATAAATAAATAAATAATAATTAATTAATTAATTAATTAATTAATTAATTAATTAATTAATTAATTAATTAATTATTACCAACTAGTTTGCCTCTGCCGCAGTAGTCCGTGAAGCTGTCTTTTGGAATTGCAAATCTTTCAAAAGGGGCCAAGTGCGAAAAGGGGCGAAAGGGGAAGTGTCGGGGGCAGCAGCTGCTGCTGCTGCTGCTGCTGCTGCTGCTGCTGCTGCTGCTGCTGCTGCTCGCGAAGCTCGACGGGCACGCTGTCTGTACACCCCGACTTATGAACTGCTTCTCAGCAGCAACAGAAAACCGAGACTCCAAACGCCGAGAAGAAAACCCCCTTGAATAGTCTGCTGCTGCTGCTGCTGCTGCTGCTGCAGGTGCTGCTGCTGCTGCTGCAGGGGCTGCTGCTGCTGCAGGGGCTGCTGCAGGCCCAGCTGCTTCCGATGGGGGCCCTTTGCGCAAAGCCCCTGCTGCTGCTGCGTCTTGTGACGCTGCTGTTGCTGGCGCTGCTGCTGCTGCTGCTGCTGTCGCTGCCGCTCCTGCTGCTGCTGCTGCGGTGGGACCTGCCCCTGCGGCTGCTGTCGCTGCTGCTGCTGCTGCTGCTGCTGCTGTTTGTACTGCGCTGTCCTGTCTTGCAAACCCCACACTCCGCGACAGCTGTCGAGACACCCCGAAGCCCTCAGAAGAGCTGCTGCGCAAACAAGAGGGGCCTGCAGCAGCAGCAGCAGCAGCAGCAGCAGCATTTGCTGGCTTCACTGCAGCAGCAGCATTTGCTGGTTTCACTGCAGCAGCAGCACCAGCTGTGACTACAGCAGCAGCGCCGTCGCGCTGATTTCCATCAGCCTCGCTGCGCCCGTCTGCTTCTGCTGCTGCTGAGGATGAATCTGCTGCATCTGCTGCTGCTGCTGGTGCTGCATCTGCTGCTGCTGCTGGTGCTGCAGCAGCTGCTGCTGCTCCATCGGCTACTGCATGGGAGTCTGCAGCAGCAGGCTTGTTATCTGTCTGGTCAGCTGCTGCTGCTGCTTCAGGCGGAGCGTCTGTCTGTTTTGCTGCTGCTGCTGCTGCAGCTGGGGCGTCGTCTGCGTGCTGAGCCGCTGCAGCAGCAGCAGCAGCAGCAGCAGCAACAGCAGCAGCAGAAGCCTGGCGAACCTGCGTCTCGAGGCCGTCAGCGTCTGGCCGCTTCTCCTTCGGAGATCGCAAAAAACTTCGAAGTTTATTCATTTTGAAGGAGCTGCAGTTGCTGCTGCTGCGTCATTGCTGCTTGCGGTGTACGTACAGCAGCGCGGCAGCAGCAGCAGCAGCAGCAGCAGCGGCAGCAGCAGCGGCAGCCCCGGAGAAACGGCGATCCCGCTGCTGCTGCTGCTGCGGCGGCGGGGGGAGACCCGAGGGCTAGCGAACAGGCAGAGTCGCCGCGCTGCATGCGCCACGCGACGGACTTGCTGCTGCTGCTGCTGCTGCTGCTGCTGCTGCTGCTCCGAGCCCATCAGAAGGCAGCAACTGAAGCTTCAAAACGAATAATAAAACAACAACTTGCCTCTGGCGCAGAGAGAGGCCCGAGCCCCACGGCCCCGTCACGGGGTGGCCAGAGCAGACATTGCCTGGCTGGGGCTGCGGCGGTCTTGCGCGGCTCCGGCGCCGTTATTTCGCGGAAAACTGCAAATTAAATGTTTTTATTTGAATTAAATTCTTTTTTTGCTGCAGATTGGTCCCTCTTTTCGCACAGACAGGCCGGGTTTCCCGGAGGATCGGGGGCGTTCTTGGCAGTCCGCGGCGGCGCTGTGCAACTTCGCCTCCCCTGCGCCGCGCAGCGCGAGATTGCGCGGTCTTCTGTTTGCAAAAGGAAAACAAATGAAAAAACAAACAAGACGAACTCCGCAGAATTTAATTTCTTTTTTCAAACTGAAATCTTCCCTCCCGACGCGGCAGGCGCTGCGGCGCGCGCTCTGCGGTGTATGCGCAGACACCCGAGCGCAGACGCCTCGCGCGTGACCGGTGGTCTTCGGCAGTTCTTTTCTTTAATTCTGCATTTTATCTTTTTTAAAACTCAACAGTCTTCCGAATGCTGCAAAAGAGGCCGCTGGAGGCCCCCGCGAGGGCCCCGCCCTTCAAGTTCCGCAGACTTGAATTCGGCCGCCTGGCCGCAGCAGTTCAGCAGCGATCTTGGCAGTTCTGCGCGGCCTCTTCGCTGAAACTTGAATTAAATGAAGTTTTAAAGGACCCTTGGAGCAGCAGCAGCGCTTTGCTGCTGCTGGAGCGCACGCGGGCTGTGCAGCTGCAGCACAGCCGCAGCAGCAGCTGCCGAGCGGCGCAGCAGCAGCTGCTGCACTGGAAGCGCCCCCGGCTCCCGCGCATGCAAAGAACCACCCCTGCAGCAGCAGTGGTCCACTGGTCACCTGTCTTCAAGTACAGCTTTCTGCCTTATTCGCAAGTGCTGCCCGCAGCAGCGCTGCTGCCGATCCCAGCTCCAGGTGTACATACACCACACGCAGCCAGCCGCATGCAAAGCGCCACCGCCGAATTAGCAGCAGCAGCTGCAGCAGCAGCAGCAGCAGCAGCAGCAGCAGCAGCAGCAAAAAGGCCGCAGGCCGTTCAGCTTTCCGCGCCTGGGGGCCGCTGTTTGTGGCGAGTTGGGGTGTACAGACACCTGGCGAAACGCCAGGTCAGTTGAACTGCTGCTCTCCAATTGCATGCAGCACTTTTTATTTTTTGATTTTGTTTGAAGCAAAGAAGAGCTGCTGCTGGACCAGTGGACCACTCAGTGGACCTCTTGCATGCAGTGGCTTTGCTGG